GGCCACGCACGCCCCTGCACCTGCAGGAGCGGCCCCTGGTCGTGGGGGTTCTCCTGGACTGCGGGGTCGGGGTTGTGTCCTTCTACAGCGGGACCTCGGGCTCCCACATGTTCACCTTCCCCAGGGCCTCCTTCCCGGATGCCCTGCGGCCCTATCTCCAGGTTTACCCCTATTCCCCCCTGTTCCTGCCCAGCCTGGACGAGTGAGGAGAGCAGCAGCCGCCTGTGGCTGAACCAGGAGAGAGAATGAGTGTGAAGGCCTAGGGTGGGATTCGGGCCTGTGTTCTCCATGCTGTTTCCCTGCCCCAGAGCAGTGCTGGGCTGTGAGTGGGTCCTGGATACATCTGCGGCGGGGAGGGCGGGGGCATAGAGAGATAAAGCTGGGCTGGGTTGCTCAGTGGTTGAATGTCCTCCTATGAACCAGGAGGTCACGGTTCTGTTCCCGCCCGGGTTACGGGCTCGATCCCCAGTTGGGGTGTGCAGGAGGAATCCAATCCATGATTTTTTTCTTGTTGATGTTTCTGTCTCCCTCTCCCTTCCTCTCTGAAATCAATAAAATATATATATATAAAAGACTGTAAAAATACCACAGGGGGTCAGTCTGACCCTCGGCCTCTCCATCCCCCTTCTCAGGATTCAGAGCTTTGATTTCCAGACGTCCTGGGGTGACTGGTGGGGTGACCGACGTCAGGAGGCCCAAGTCCCCCCCAGTGTGTCTGACATGGTTTGAGCTTGGGGGTGGGGTGGGGCGGGGGACGGGATTTGCAGAAAAGAACAGAAAAACCAAACTAGCGGTGAGTCTTTTAGCCACTGACCCGTTGATTAATAATCTGAGCCACACCCGGCCTGCGCGGCTCAGTGGTTGAGTGTTGACCTATGAACTAGGGTCTCATGGTTCCATTCCCACCAAGGGCGCATGCCCGGTTGGCACGTTCCTCCCTGGTTGGGGCCCGTGCAGGAGGCAACTGATTGATATGTTTTTCTCACATCAATAATTCTGTCTTTCTATCTTTCACTCTCTCTGAAAATCAATGGAAAGCTCGGGTGAGAGGGAGGAAGGGAGGGAGGGAGGGAGGGAGGGAGGAAATGCTGAACTCCTGGAGGCAGGAACGGCCTGCACAACGCCAGGCAAGCTCTGTGCTCAGGGTGTGGACCGCAAGGCGACCCCATAAGGAGGTTGAATTGCTGACAATCAATAAATGAGAATGATCGTGTCGGAAGGAACATGGCCGGCGTGTTGAGGAACAAATTGGCCTGCTTCCGTGGTTCTCGGGCTGTCGGGCGGCGAAGGACCCCGAGATACCGCCGAGATCCACACTGTCCCTGCGCAGCTCCAAAGCAAGGAGCCATCTCTACGCAGGCGCTGGGGTGCCCCACTTAAGGCCTGTGAGCCCTCCCTCCCTCCCTTCCTTCAACCTGAACATTAAAGACAGTTCTGTCTCATGGGGTTGCCAGGGCCCCGATGGGACTGCACATGCAAAGATACGGCATTCACTCGCGTCACGTCGCGTGTGCCCGATGGCTTCCCACACGGGGAAATGGGAAGCCACCCCTGAAACCCAGGCTCTGGGATGCTTTTCAATCCAGGGTTTTCTAAAGGCAAACATTGGGGGTCACCGGTGAAGACGACTGGTCAGTGCGTGTGCCAGCCACGCCGGGTGTCCTTAATCTGGTTGATTTAGTTCTCGACGGCGTCCTGTCTGGAGAACTTTCCTAGTTTCAGTTGGGCGACCGACCCAGGTGAGGGCCCAAGATTCCACAGAACATCGCACGGTTGTGTGTCACACGGCTGTTCTTTTTAAAGCAAAAGGCAGAAACGAAACATGGTGTAACCATTGCATTGTTTGTAATGAAAACATTTAATATTCAAAAGTACATATATTTAATGACTTGTGATATATAATACATATAAGTGGAAACTACATCATAGACAAAGAAAATATAGAAAAAAAAACCCTATTAGAAAACTATCACACAGGAGATAAATATAAGGTTAATTTTCTATTATATGTAAGAAAAGAAAACCAATGGGACAAGAGAAAGACAGACTGACTTCCCAGCGAATGAGCAAACCATATAAGTGCATATTCAAGTGACCAGTAACCTAAAGAAAGGGAGTGACGGTGTGAAATAATTCTACACGCTGTAGACTTGCAGAGTTAAGGAGACCTCCGTCCGGGCTGGCGGGAGAGGAGAGCTATTTTCAGGATATGTCAGCAGCAACCAACTGAAAATTAAAATGCACTTTCCTCTGGCAATGTCCGCACTAGAACTCTCTTGTCTACGCACCATGGCCAGGAGTGGCAAATGGGAACGTCAATCCTTATTAATGGGTTATCATCGCTACCCCATGTGGAGGACACTTTTTAAAAGATGACTTGACTTCAAAGGACTTTCTCAAGGTTTTGTTAAGAGAAAAAGCAGCCCGGCTGGTGTGGCTCAGTGGTTGAGCGTCCACCTAGGAACCAGGAGGTCAGGGTTTGATTCCCCGGCAGGACACAGGCCCGGGTTGCAGACTCCATCCCCAGTGTGGGGCATGCAGGAGGCAGCGGATCCATGATCCTCTCTCATCATTGATGTTTCTCTCTCTCTGTCTCTGAAATCAATAAAAATATATTAAAAACGAACGAATTGAGCTGCCTTAAGGAACAGTGAGGAAATCAGGCTCAGTCATATACTGATTGCTCTTGGATATGAAAAAAGGGCAGTACACTGTGAACCCCAGAATTAAAATTCCTAAAGCTTAAAGGGGCAATTCTGCGACCGTGTCCCCACGTGTGTTTAATGTGGCGCAGCGCACGCCACCAGGTAGAAAACGGGTGAGAGGCAGGGGATTGCAAATGTTACCGGATCCGGCCAGTTGTTTCTCCAGAAGGAAAACCGGGGAAGGGCTTTGGGCTCCGGCTCTCTCGGCCCCTGGCAGCTGAGCTCCTTTCCTGACAACGGCTAGAAGCCAGGGGGCAGCCAGCTAACCTGCCAGGGTCAGAGGTCGGCGTGTTGTGCGGGCGCCAGAGGCCCACCTGCTGGACACACAGGTGACTCGCGGCTGCCGGGGCAGATGTTGAGCCCTAGGTTGCACGGGACACCCCAAAAGCATTTCCCAACTTCAGAGAAGACCGCTTCAGCAATGCTGTCCCCCGTTCCATCTGAGGCTGCAGGGAAACCCTGCCTGGAAAAGGGAGCCCTCCCAGCCTGGGCCGGGAATCTTTCTTTTAAATGTTTTGGTTGATTCAGTGACTGACTAGTTCGGGGTGTGGGTCTAATAAAAACCTCAGGTGAACACACAGAAATAGTGTTTCCCAAGTCCTGCTGCGGGTAAATCACTGCGAACCCCCCAAACATTCCCAGTAACTGGGCTCCAAGTGAGAATTTCCCGGGGGTCCCTAGATCTCACCGAGCCAGAGGCCGGCGCTCCCAAGCTCTTTCCAGCAGCAGGTAGGTGGCTCTTAAAAGAGCCGTTGGGTTATAGGAACAGGGTTCCAACCGGACCTACTTCTTCTTGGGGGCCGCCTTCTTGGCCTTGGGCACCTTGGCCTTGGCCGCTTTGGGCTTCACGGCCTTGGCCTTGGCCGGGCTCTTGGCCACCTTCTTGGGCTTCACGGCCTTGGGCTTCTTGGGGCTCTTGGCGGCCTTCTTGGCCGCCGCCGGCTTCTTCACCTTCTTCGGAGTCTTGACGGCTTTCTTGGCGGCGGCGCCCGCGGGCTTCTTGGGCTTCTTAGCCGCGCCC